ATTAAGAACGCTGCGAAGCTAGCTACTAAATACTAAGGAGGGCCTTTGTTTGCTTTGTCTGTTTGACCCGAGAGTAGTCTAGTTTGTTTACCTGTTTCTGCTTACCTAATACCCCTGTTTGCTTTGCTAACTAAATAGCTATTGTGTTTAGTTTGCTTCATTCTATAGCGATATGCACGTGCTAAGGGGGTGACTTAGAGTGTATGTCTAGGTGTTAGGGTCTATTACGTGCCTAATGCCTAAGGCTGCAACTGCTACACTTTATCTTCGGACTTCTATATAGATTAGTCCTTCTTCTAATACATCAGTTACATTAAGTAATAGTAGAGGGAGGTAGCATTTAGGAGGTCCTCTCTAGGTTAGAATACACTAGTTCTACCGCTCCTTTCGACCGTATATATATTATAGGCTCGTCGTTACTTGTCTCTTCGCCTAGCAATCTATTCTCTTTATCGTCGTCGTTGTTGCTATCCTTGTTATATAAAGAGTTAAGCTACTAGCTAAACCGTAAGCCGTCGTCCTATATAGATAGATTGTCGAATACTTCTTAGGTACGTAGAAGATATGCTTCTCGTTAGTATAGTTGCTCGTTAAACGGAATAGTATTAGGCGGAAATAGTGTGTGTTGTTGCTATAGAAACTGGTATTCAAAGTCGCGTTATATAAACGGGGGCGGGTTAGGAATTTAGGAAAAGTCTATAAGTAGACTACTAGGCAAATCGTTATATTCTATAGTAATACTGTCTCTGCTATTAGACTGAGTCTCGGCAATAGTATTATAATGCATTCTACGCGAAAAACGCGTATAGAAACGTAGTATAGTAGTATTGTTATATAGAGTTCTATATAGGTTAGTAGTGCTCGAATCCCCGCCTCGGAGCGTCTAGGCCCTTTTGCAAGCTAGAATATACTATAGACGGCCGAAAGCCTGTTAGTACGGTCCGCAGAGCCGCCTTCTCTTACTATCGATTAGCAGGGGGCAATATAGGGGTGTTTTGTATATAGAATCGCTGTTTCTTCCTACTAACTATCGTTTAATAGAGGATAATCGTATATTGAAGCCTCGTACGCGTATTTCTATCGATTTCTAGCATTCTGGCGCCAAATTGCCGCTAATGTGGGTCTACGACCGACTCGATCGACTGTAGGCAAGCTAGTGCTGCGATTGGAAGAAGAGCTAAATAACTCTACGTTAAAGAAGAAGGTAGTAGAGCTTCTTGAGAAGCCTATAAGTCCGCCGCTAATAAGACGAGGTATAAAGGGTAGATCTAGTAGGTCTATTAGAGCCGGCAAGAAGGGCAAGAAGACTGCCGCGCTAGTTACTAAGTCGGTAGCGGCACTAAGTAAGGAGACCGTAGCAACGCCGGCAGAGGATAATAGTAACGTTATGCCTAGCAAAATAGGTGCTTCTTTCTCTACCGCCTCCTCTACTAAGGCCTCTATTTCCTCCTCTTTTAATACAGTACTAGAAGCCGAGGCTGCTACTAGCAGCATAACGGCCCTCGCTACTAGCAACGTACCTATAACTGCGCCTAGCTCTTTTAACTTAACTAATAAGCCTAAAGTCTTCTACTATAATGCGTAGTAGACTGTATTTAATCTGTCTAAGAAAGGCGCTAATCGATCGCTTATAACGAAGCTAATAAGGTTTCTTACTACGAGAGATAAGGAGCTATAGGATAGCTACTCGTAGGCGGCGAAGTTTGCTTAGCTTAATAGCTATAATCGACCTTACCGAGTTATAATCCGTACTAGTACGGAAGGAGCGAAGAATACGTTTACTAGCGACTAGTACTAAGTAGGTAACGATATCGATAGCGACTTTGTTTATCGACAAGCTCTCGACTATACGATTGATCTTATAAAGGCTAAAAGGAAGCGCCCGTTCGTTAACCTCGAGTTCTGTATAAAGCCTAAGCAATTAGTAGTAGCTAGAAGCAAAGGTAAGAATAAGGAGGTCGAGAAGTTAAAGAAGAACCCTAATGCGGTTCAAATAAGGAATATTAGTCTAATTATCGCTAAACTCGAGTCGTCTAGCAGGTACGACTTTAAGATAATCAATAAGTAGCTCTACACTCGGAAGGACTGTCTAAATAGTAACAAGGCCGGCGAGGCTGCTTGCTAGTTTAATCGCTCGGTAAAGGAGCTCGGCGAGAACTATTTCCCCTTCTACGAGGCTGCAATAATTAAGCTAAGTCAAGCTATTACTAAAGGCCAGTATATCTAGAATAAAGACGGCTCTTAGCCGGATAGGCTTCTAGTTTCGGTAGAGATAATATTAATAACTCGGAAGGTCGAGAAGAAGTATTAGGCAAGAACATAGCGGCGTAGTAATACGGACTCGCTAGGTAGCAAGAATAGTAGTATAATGAAGATGATAGGCGAATTTATAAGTAGTATGCTCTATACTTAGAACAATAGCCTCGGTCGTATTCCTAGTACGCTATCGAAGACTCTAACTCGCGCTCTTACTAGATATCGCTTAGGTTACAAGGCGCCTATTAAGGTGCCTCGTACGGTGATCTCTAAAGCCGCTACGACTAAGTTCTTTAACTAGTATGCCCTCTAGCCGGAATTCGCGGATTAGGACTCTCTACGCGCCTATATTAGGGTTTTCGTAGGTTTAGTATAGCGGCTCGATACTATTACTAATATAGACTAATCTGACTAGCCTTACGAGCTTAAGGAAATAGGTGGAATGCGTCTAAGACTAAAAGAGGCTATTCGAGAATAGTTAAAGGAGAGGGACGATAATATTATCGCCGTAGAAAGAGCCGCTACGGAGGAGGGCGAATTTTAAGCGAACTCGGGCTTTCTTTACGCACTATTCTTTTTATTACTACAATATATACAACCTTATAATAAGCGGGAGATTCTTACTGTAATTATACTCATTTAGACCCAATTTAGTATATTAAATTGAATGCGTTAGTTATAGAACAATAAGAGGGTATAGCAAAGCTAGCGTTCGAACTATTTACCTAAATCTCTGCCTCCGGCGCTTGCCGGCACTAGTCTATATTAGTGCGGTTACTCGAAGTCCTCGAAATCTATATCCGATTCTTCTAGTTCTTGTTTATAGTCTTCCTTACTCTATACATAATTATTTAGGTTATCTAACACCGCCGGCGGCGTGCTCTTATACTGCGAATACTATGCCGACTCTTTAGCATCTATATTTAGCATATTTTGTGCGGATCTAGCGCTTATTTCGAAGGCTTTAGGATCGTACGGCAAATCTCGACCCTCTACGTTATAACTAGCGTGTTTGAATAATCTACGCGCCCTGCGGCCTCTATACTTATATAAACACTATACTAAGTAGGCTTAGAACCCTTCGAAAAGCGGTAGCTTATAGCGATACTTTTTAATAGTCTTCTTAAGCAGATTAAAGGTCTATTCGATAGGATTCAAATCCGGTAAGTATAGCGGAAGAAACTCGAGATAGTAACCTGCTTCTAGGATAGCTTCCTTTACCCTCCTTCTATAGTAGATACTAGTATTATCTATTATAAAGATTATCGATAGACTATTAACTAGCAACGGTAGCACCTCTTCCTCTAGCTAGGTATTAAATCGGTTACTATTAATAGATCCTTAGTATACGTACGTATAAGGCAAGTAGCCGTAGAGCGTAAAGGTAGGCAAGATAGACTACCTTACTTCCCTTCTCGCATACTAATAATCTATACAAGCAATGCCTCTTAGCGACTATCTATACTTCCGCTAACTAGTCTTCTAATTATAGGTAGTCTCGTCGATAAAAATTAACCTATCCGCCGGCTAACTCGTATACCTAATAACCTACAATGCCCTTAGCAACGGGTTCCGCTCCTTCGCCTTCGTTTATATCTTCGTACGAGTCTATCCCTAACGCTTTAACGTTTTATATAGTAGACTCGGCGTTAGTACTACGCCTTTACCTCCTTTATTAACTAGACGGAGCCGTTTAAACTCGTCGTAAAGAGCAGCGATTATTTCTATAAAGTAGGCGTCCGGACGCTCGTAGAGATAGTTATAGAGCTATTCTTCCTCGCTATATAGAAGGCGCCTCGGATACCCTTTAACCGCGCTAGTATTCTTTATATATAACTCGCTAAACAACCGCTACTTCTACTAGTACCTATATATCGACCTTACTACTATTAGCACTCGTGTTTCAGCTATTATCTGCTTAGGAGTAAACCTACGAGCGAAATAGGCCTTAAGGAGGGTCTGCAAAGCAGGGTTAATTAGTCTTAGCTTTATACTATACGTAATAACACCTCGGAAGGGCCTATACTACTGTTTTATCGACAACACGCTTTTAAAGATATATTAGAGAAGTCTACGAACCTTAGAAGAGTACGGAAGAGTAGATTTTAGTATAAAATAGCGGTGTGGGTTCTCGCCAAGCCTCTACCGGAGTTCTTGGTTTTCCCCGCAGCGACTGACAGGCTTTCGGCCGTCCATAGTAGAACAGCCGCACAAGAGCCATACCAAAGGCACTCCAGGCGCATCCAGCCGCTCTTCGCACCAAGCCATCCACCTGCGATTATTGCAAGGCAGTGTTAGCAGAGCTGTGATAATAATGCCTCTTCTCATGAAGCTGACACGAAGCTTTGCAAAATGCACCCTGAACGTTTCAGCAGTTGCGATTGACAGTTTCAAATGCTACATGACTCTCAGCCGAGCTGCACATCATCATACCTAGCTACATGTGATCCCCTCGGGCGCCCACTGCACAAACATCCAACAGTCATGCATTCCTCTACGCTTCATCTTCAATAGGAGGTCTGTATTAATCTCCATTGTCGGTCGTCAGGCATCGTTTGTACCTCGAACAATGCCATATTTGACCAAGATCACCACCTCGAATCCTTCGACTCTCAAAGGCTTGCGGAGCGGCGCAAAGACACTTCGCAGCTTAAGAAGGGCGTCCGTCCACATTTCTCCTTTCTACTCTTGCTATGGAGCCCTTCATCTTTGACCTAGGAGAAGGTGGTGGTGTGGTGAGCGGACTAAAGAGCTTTCCCACGAAACCTGAGGATGACGCACACAACACCAAGGGAAAACCATTGCTATTCTGCCTTCATGGTGCGACCTACTGCGCAAAGTATTTCGACGCCCACGAGAAGTATTCTCTGAAACGAACATCGGATCTGCTCGGTCTGCCAGTGATTGCCATCAATAGACCAGGCTACATGAGCACCCCGGAACTACCAAAACCAAAGAATGAAGGATCAGACACGCATCTACAGAACGAGAGCCGCTGGCTCCACCGCCTTGTGCTTCCAACTTTGTGGCGAGCATATGGTCCCAGCTTGGGTGCCACGTCGATCGTGTTGATTGGGCACTCCATTGGGGCTGCTGTCGGTATCATTATCGCAAGCAAACACAGCAGCCAGACGAACAGCGGAGCTGGAACTGCAGCACCGGGATATCCGCTTTCCGGTCTAGTAATATCAGGTCTAGGAACACAAAAAACCTTCCAACCGGACCCAGGTTACCTGTCTGTATTACCGCCTTTCAACGAGGAAGGCCAGCCAATGCATCATCACTGGAATCATGAACCCAAGACAAAGCTCATGCTCAACTCAGACTATGGCCAAGCACCCCGCGACACAATCATGGCTCACGAGGCAATATGCACTCCAGGCCTGAGCACCGAAGCCTTGGACTTCAATGCGCCTGAGAACTGGCCTGCTTACTGGACTAAGCTGGCCGCCGAGATCACCATTCCGGTAATGTACTTTCTGGGCTCGGACGACCAACTATGGGAAGGTACTACGGAGCGCGTCGAAGAGTTTGCCAGTGCTTTCAAAAAGACGCCGAGAATCGAAAGAGGCGTCATGGGAGGCTCGGGACACTGTATAGAATTGAGTTGGCTCGGACCGGCTTGGTACGTGAGATGTGCCGGTTTCGCGATGGGATGTGCGATAGAGGCTGAGCTCCTGGGATCGATACGTATCGGATTGAGTCCAGAAATTGGATCTTGAATACAGCGCTGTTCGTCTTCTGTGCCCAATGCGAACTGAAGGAGGGGAGCGATCCAATGGCGCTCGCACTCAATCCAGCAATTTGCAGCCTCTACTTTCGAACGACCTGAAGTCGCTGAGACTCGTACACCCATTTGGATACACATGTTAACTCTCGTCGGTCCCTATATACGTCGCATTCCAACGTCATTGTCGTCGTTGCCACCTGTGTCCAATCAGACCCGCTGGAGCCTTGGCTTCGCCAACCTGAGGCATCTACGGAGCTTCGGACGACAACTTCATCAAGATATGTAGTACATGGCTGTGTTTTGTGCGACGAACGGAATGATAAATCATGATTTAAAGAGGCGCGACCCCTCCAGCGTCATGATGTTTCACATCCTCGTACGCTTCTCTGTGTTCCCAAGTCAACATATGGTATATCTTTTCTGGGCTTGGCAGCATCAGTTAATTCACTTTGTCCATACAGTGGCAAAGATGCAAGTGCTTCGAGTTTCAGGAACTCCCAGGTCCGAAGAGAGTTGGCTGTGGAAGGCAAGAAGGGAGTGTTCCTAATGAACAGGATAGGACCATCTGCGAGCACTCTATGGATTGCGGACATTGATGGCAGCAACAAACGCAGACTTCTTGGCAATGAGTCGCATTTTGAATATCACGCATCGTTCTCGCCTGATGGGAAATGGTAAGACAGTGCAATATGAGTGTTGCCGAAATTGGGCTGACGTTGATCGTTTCTAAGGGTTACATTCACCACAGAACGAAATGGTGATGGCAACTCCGACCTTTACCGAATTCGAACGAATGGCTCAGACCTCCAGGAGCTGGTCGCAACGCCATCTGTTGAAGATGCGGCTGTGTTGTCGCCAGATGGTAATATGCTGGCATATGTCTCAACAGCCAATGGCTACAGGGCAAATATTTGGGTAAAGGCCTTGCGGACGAACACAACAAGAAGTCTGACCGACACCAATTGCACAAGAGGCTGGTCATGGAGTCCAGATGGCCACTTTCACCCTACCTGGTCGCCGGATGGACAGTGGGTCGCGTTCTCTTCGGATCGCAACACTGCTTGGACAGGACATGGCAACGGTACCGGATGGGAGCATACTCAAGAACTCTCAATCTATGCGATTCGTCCCAATGGCTCAGACTTTCGTCCAGTCACACAAAAGGCTGGATACTGTTTAGGTTCTCCGGTCTTCTCTCCAGACGGCGAACGCATCGTGTTCTACGAAATGCCGAGAGAATACACATGGAATGCACATCGACCAGAAGACCTTAACAGCACCGTCAACCAGATCGTGTCAGTAGACTTCGCGACCGGTCTAGATCGCCGAGAAGAAACATCGACTCAAACCCTCAAGATCGCTCCGGGATACGTTGGCAACAATAGCGAAATAGGCTACTTGGTCAAGGGTCCACTCGACGGCACGCAGGGTATCCACTACACCTTGAACAAAAGCTCAATCTGTGGTGAGATGCGCTCTCCAGCCTGGAGCCCAGATGGTAAGCATGTTGTGTACGAGGTTAATGACTGGACCATTCGCTCCATGGAATCAGAATTGTACAGCTGGGACCCGGATTGGGAATATCGCTTCACCGACGTCTTCCCAGTGCTCTCGAACCAAGGCGTCTTTGCAATGACTCAGAAACAGCTCGGAAATTCCAGCATTGTGAAGATGAACCCCGATGGTACAAACCTGACCATGGTCTTCGATAGCTATGCCGCGAATCAAGTCGAATCCAGCCTCGTCAACCAGAGACCAGCAGGAGCCTTCCAACCAGATTTCAGTCCGGACGGAGAATGGGTAGCTTTCGGTCTCGGGCACTGGTTTCAAGAGCGCGCTCATGGAGGAGGCTGGATCTACCGCGCAAAGGCCGACGGCAGCTACTTCGGGCAACTCACGTTCGGGGCTCTGAACTCTGATTTCCCGTCCTATTCTCACGACGGCAAGAAGCTGGTCTATCGCATCTGGCAATCCCACAACTCGGCCTCCTCGACCTCGAAACCCACAAAATAACAATCCTGACCAACGCCTCTCTCCCCGACAACCTGCCCCATTTCTCCCCAGACGGAACTCGAATTCTCTTCACACGCCGTATGAACTACACAAACTACGAGATCTGCACGATCGCACCCGATGGTTCGGATCTCAAAGTTTTGACTTCTTCCGGGGCGAATGATGCTCATGCGGTTTGGGCTCCTGATGGGAACATTTTGTGGTCGAGTGGGATGTATGGTTTCAGGGCGGAGTGTGCGACGTGTGATGGTACTTTTCAGCCGTGCGGACAGATTATGTGGATGGATGGGGAGGGCAATAATAAGAGGATGTTGACGGATTCGATTTGGGAGGATAGTATGCCCATTTATTTGCCGAACTGCGTTTTGGAGATGGATCCTCTAAGGAGGAGGAAGAAAGAGGACGGCTTCCCAGTTTGAGCGCCGTTGAGGTTAGAGAAGCTAGATAGACGAGATATGAAGTAGACATTGTTGTGATTAAGCTGAGCAGAATAAGTTATTAATTGATTGACTATAGAATTGCATAAGGAAGGGAATCAAGTTTCTGCCTAAGCTAGAGGCTATATATATTACTAGGAAATTAGGCCTTAGCACTTAGCAGTGCTAACTAATCTATAACACTCCCCCTCTAGCAGAATCTATTAGAATGAAAGGCTATTTTCCCTCACTTTTCCCTTTATTAGCTATTATAGGCATTATTAGATAGAGTGTAACTGCTTATAATTAATTATATGCAAGTAACCTGCATATTACGTTCTAAGTAATATAGGGTTGCTTCTCCTAGTTAGCTAATTAGTCTAGTTCCTTTATATATATTAAAGTAAAAGTAAAGTCGCGCTTACTATACGTTTGCTGCTTAGACCCTGTCCTTATAGTAAGCCCAGTAGTCTATATTTAAGAAGTGCGCTTTCTGTTTAAACTTAAACTTCTTCTTTCTACTAACTAATACTATACAACCGAAATTCTCCGATATAGTTTAATACAACCTAACTTTAACTAGAGGTACTATTATAGCTATAGCAACTTAGCCCAGTCTAGGTAGCCTAGCTACTAGTATAGGTAGTAGTAGTAGCGGCGGCGGAGGAGATAATCTAAACAAGAAGCTATCTAGTCGCTACGATAAGTAGTAGTTAATTAACAATAGTAAGGCTTTATTAATTAGATACGCCTTCCTATACTAATAGAGAGCAGTCTTAAAGAAGATTAAGATTACCGTCGCGGTCCTATAGAAGATCCTAATCGCTCTAGCTAATTCGAAGTTTAACGAGATGCCTCCCTAGCTACGTAATAGCGACGTTATTATCTTTATACGTACCTTTAAGCAAAAGGGCAGCAATACTCCCTTATACCTAGCTATCGTAGCTATAACACGTAGGGCGGATAAGAAGTTTAACCTAGCCTCTAAATCTAACGTTGACTATCTTCTAGCTATACTTGTATATACTACTTCTAGTCGCACTGTCTATTAGGGGAATAATAGGTATAAGCCCTATTAGGAGGGTAAGGGTATATATAAGGAGTGTGTTACTCTAACTATTAATAGGAGCAAGTTTCTTAAGGGTGCCTATACCAATTGTGCTAGCCCGAACTATTATAGTTATTATAATAAGTCGAGTAAGTTAGGTCTAACTTGAGATTTCAATTAGAAACTAACTAGGTTATAGGCTATATATCGCGCCCTCGTTCGAGCACTAATCGCTAGGCAAATCTTCCGGGTCCTATTAGGCTACTGCCTCGTAATCTAGGCAGTATAGTAGGCAGTAATTAGCGTCGCCTATATATCCCGATTCCTTCTAGAATTAATTAGAATACTCCGGAAGGCGCTTAGGCGATTGCGAACGCGTTAGCTTAGTAGGCAGGGGTCTATACTACTACTACGATAGCTAGTCGTAGTCGGAATCTATAGTCTCGGCTTTCTTCTAGATCGGCTATACTAGTCCCGTCTAGCTCTTCTTAGAGTAGGCTATTAGATCGTTACTCTTCTTAGAGCGGGCTATTAGATCGTTAGGATAACGACAAGGTCGATACTAACGAGGAAATAGGCAGTCCTTAAAGGGATAGGAGTATCCTTAGAAGGTTAGAGATCCTTTAGACAAAACTTCTAATATATAATTTAAGATTTGTAGTATTAGGGAGTTTCTAGTCCTTATAGATTAGGCAAATCTAGTTTTAATGTTTGTTTCTGCTTTAAGATATTGTACTAAGAGCTAAAAGATTACTCTAGATACCGAGATACCCTAGTAGAGAACTAGAAGAGTAGTTAGTCTATAGAGAGTAATAAAATCAAAATAAGTGTATTAAGTTTGGCTTCCTATTCTAGTAATAAATAAGAATAAAATAAGTGACTTTAGAGTTTGTCCTTTACTAGTTAAGATCCTAGAGGATAGGGTTGTTTAACTTAGGCTTAGTAAGCTAGTCTGCTATTTAGAGATTAGTAGGAATGTACTAAATATTAATCCTCCCTTTGTTATACTACTCTCTATAGTAATAATTCCTTAGGGAAACATACCTTAACCTACTGGAGTTAGTATAATTCTTTATAAGGTAGATAGTTAACTAGTTATTACAGTTGATTTCAACACAGTTAAACTTGAACTTAGTAAAGCTACTAATTTCCTTAGAGAGGTTCCTTAGCCACTTTAACTCCCTTACAGCTTTAGTAAGTACCACATACTCTGCTTTAGTACTAGAGTAGACAACTTCTTTCTAGAGCTAGGATTTCTAGAGAACTAGTCCTCCTACTATAAGGAGTAGGAATCCTAATATAGACCTCGAGGTTTTTAGGTTACTAGCGAAGTTAGAATCTAAGTAGACCTTAAGATAGCTCTTAAGATTAACTTTTCTAGACTTGCTCTTTTTAAATACTAGGGACTTATTAACTATTCCTACAATATATTTCCAAACATATCTTACCGCTGCAATATACTCTAGTCTAGGGTTTTGTAGGAATCTAGCTAGGTGGTTGATAGTATAAGTAATGTCAGGTCTTATCTAGTTAGAAAGATACTACAGTTCCCTAATTATCTAATTAAAGAGTTCGTAGTCCTCCTTCTTATAGTCTAGTTCGAAAGTAGTTAGGAGTTTCTTAAGTAGGTACTTTATACCCTTATATTAGTTAAGACTATACTTTCTTAGCTTCTCTAGAGAGTAGTGCTTCTAGGAGATTCTAAGACTTATACTATCTTTAATAATATACAGTCCTAGGAAAAGGTTTGTCTAGACAACCTTAATAGTATAGGTTTTCCTAAGTCCTTCAATTAGCTTATTAATCCTAGCTTAGGTTTTACTAAAGATCCGAAAGTCATTAATGTAAAGGATAACTATAATCCCTTGAACCCTTCTCTAATGAAGAGGTAGGCATCGCTCTTAGTTTTGTATAAACTAAGGGTCTTAAGTATAGCTTTAGCATCGTAGTACTATAAAGCAGCTAACTGCTTTATGCTATATAAGCCTTTCTATACAATTATATATAGAAATTTCTCCGGGTCCTTTCTAATTAAATGTAACCCCTTAGGTATAATTATATAGTTAGGTCTATTAATGTCTAGTTCTAGAAATGTAGCCTCAATATCTACTTAATATCTAACCTAGCTAAAAGTAGCTAAAAGTCCTAAGCAGAATCTGCTTATTACAGCTCTTAGGGTTAGAGCAAAGGTTTCTTCGAAGTTAATACCTTTCCTCTAGGTAAACCCCTTAGCTATATATCTCGCCTTAAACTTCTTAGTAGAACTATTAGGCAAGCGCTTAATCTTCTAGACCTATTTGCTTAATATTAATTTTCTTCCTTTTAGGAGTTCCTTAGTAGAGATCTATTTAAGAGTGCCTATTTTGTCTAAAGACTTAAGTTCTTTAGTAATAGCTTCCCTCTAAAGCTTAGTATCTATACTATTTAGTGCTTTATAAAGTGTAGATAGCTTACCCTCCCCTAGCTTCTTAGCCTTTTTCTTTAGGAATCTCCTAAGGGCAGCATTTAGGACCCTGGCTATATTGCTATAGTTAGGTCTCCTTGTTTGCCTGCCCCTTAAGGATATTATAGGGGGTACATCTACAAGGTCTAAGTACCTTAGCTTTGTTACAGTTCCTAGAGCTACTAGTAGTAAGGTACTTCTTAGCCTCTTTTGTCCTACTAACTAGTTTAATTAGTATACGACTAGCCTTATTGTAACTTCCTAGGCTGCTAGTAGTAAGGCGGCTCTTAGTAGCCTCTTCTAACCTGCTAACTAGTTAGGTTAGTATATTATTAGTGTATCCTTATCTTTAGACTAATATTAGTTATTATTATTAGGGGCATTAGGAGCCGTCTCTTTAGCTAGGCTTTCTGAATCTTTATTAGGAGCCGTCTCTTTAGCTAGGCTTTCTAGATCTAATAGAAGTCGCTCCCTATAAAGAGCTATTAGCTCCCCCGAAGGTGTTAGCTCCCCCGAAGAGGGTGTTTAAAACGGCTCTTTAGCACTTCTAGAAGGAACAGGTTCATAGTTACGCTAGGCTTGCTTAATATTAGGTAGGAATCCTAAAGCTACTCTAGATTTACTAGGGTTAATCCCTAACTAAGAATGTTTAATAACTTAAATATAGGGAGGGGCTAGATTTACTTTTCTACCTTTATCCCCGTAGGTCTAATCTTTATTAAAGGTAATATAATAGGAGAACTTAATCTTATACTGCTATAGCCCCTTACTATAGTTGAACTAAGGCCTCTAGAGGAGGTAGTTTGTCGAAGAGTGAACTGTGATTCTAGAATCTAATACTCTAGTAGATTAGAGCTCTTAATATAAACTTTGCGCCTCTTAGCCTTTCTTCTTTGCTAATATATTTATATACCTTATAACTAAATCTCCTAACTCTAGACAGATCTACTAGAGTTCCCCCTTGCTTTAAATCCCTTTCGAGATAGACTAGAGGAACTTCTTTAGTTATTAGATTAGCTAGTCTGTTAGGTAAGTGTATAGAGTGCTTAATAGTATAGCTCTATAGTTCTTATAGTAAGCCTACATTAATAAGTATAGCCCTAGCCTTTGTTAGGATAGTCTTATTAGATAACTCTATAATGCTATTTTGTTTAGGTATATAGGGGCTTAAGAAATCCTACCTATACCCCTTGATTTTAGTAGTCTTTTAAAGGTACTTATTGTTAAACTGGCCCCTATTGTCTAAGAACTAGATCTTTGGTCTTTTGCTAAACTAATTAGACTACTAGTTTATCTATTTCTTAATAAGAGCGGGACTATTTTTTAGGTCTAGGGTCTTATTATCCTATCTGTACCTTGTCTTTATATAAGTTAGCAGGTACAAGTAGCGGTTCCTATAGATGTCTAGAGGTATAATTGGTCTAATAATATCAATATAGATTTTATCTAGAGCTTGAACTAGAGTCCTTCTTACAATCCTTAAGACTATCCTCTAAGACCTTACAAGCTTGTAGGCTTTATAGTGCCCTAGTTCGGTAGTGTTAATATAGTTAATACTAAAACAATCTTAGTAGGTTTTAGTTACATTTAGTATCTTGCTTCTAATATAGCTAAGTCTCTAATATACTCTAACAGTATCTGCCTTTAGTCGGGCAACTGCTAGCATTATAGCTAGCTAGCTCTTAGGAGGAACAATCCTAATATACTTTAAGACTATTATAATATTGTTAATCTTAGCCTCTCTAATAACCTTGCTATCCTTTCTTTAGATAGTTATAGTTAGCCTATATAGGAAGTATCTAGTCTTTCTATAGATCCTCTCTGCTAAGATTAGATTTATATTAGAGTTAGGTAAGTACAACACTTCTCTAAGCACTATCTTTATAGTTTTGCCTTTCTAGAGGAACTTAAGGTAAATGTCCCTAATTATTCTATAGCTTCCTTTGCCTAAAGCAAGGCTGAACTTAGTAGGTAAGTTAAGGGACCTAAGGTTATAGAACTAGTCCTTATTATTGAACATATAGTATAATATACTAGTATCCTAGATTTTAATTGCTTTGTCTAGGTTCTTAGGGGATACTAATGCAATAGGAGTTAGACTTTAATTAAAGGATACTTAGGCTAGGGTTAGTGCGATATATGCCCCTAAAGCCTAGCCTTCCGAGTTAGAATCTGATTTACACTTATCGTTATTATCGCTGCTATTATCTTTTCTAGCAGCCGTAGCCTTATTCTTAGACTTAGATTTATCCTTGTCTTTTAATTTAGACTTATCCTTGTCTTTTAACTTTTTCTTCGACTTATCCTTATCTTTATCCTTAGATAGCTTTCTATTAGGATGTTATTTCTAGTACTTTACATTAGTATGCTTGTGCTTATAGTACTAATACTACTTATTGTCGTCCCTAACCTTAATATTAGAGACAACTATAAAGGCTTTGCCTTATTGCTAGTTCTATAACCTTAGAGGCTTTTCCTTCCTAAGGGATATAATTATTGCTTCGAGAGTCTAGCTAGTCCCTTCTAGTTTATTATTGTGCCTCTAGCTTCTAAGCTATTTATAGTACTAAAGACTATTAATAAAGAGCACCCTAATTATTATATCTAGGATCTTAATATCCTTAGGCTTAATACCGTATACTCTTTCAAACTGCTTAGTAGCTGTTTTGTGCTTCTACACCTATACTTAGAAGTCTTTATAGTACTTAAGGGTGCTGTTAGATATTGCTTGCTTAAGAGTAACTATTCTAAAATCCTTTAGGGTATTATAGATATCTACTATAATAATTGGTTGGTATATAGCTACTATAGTCTCGTAGTAGTCCTTAGTAGTCTTCTAGGTAATTATACTCCTAAAGTAAGGTCTCAGATCTAGTAAGATTATCTTAACTAGAATGCCTATAGCAATACTATCTTTCTCTATAAACTCTCTTAGGGCTTTATTAAAATCCGGATTATTAGCGTAATCGATTCTAAGAGGTTTATAGTATAGCTTTGCCTATTTCAAGTTATAAAGCATATATCTATATACTTTCTCCTCTAGTAGCTCTTTCTAAAGGATCTGTCTCTATAATCAAAAGTTAGTCGTCCTCGTAAGGATACGATTTTCCTTAATGCTTTTTACGGATTCTTTGTTATTAGCTATACTACTAAGCTCTTTCTTAGCTCGCTTAGCTTATAGGTGCTAACTGTTAGTTAGATCTAATTTAGTACTAAGTGTAGGGTAGCCCTATTTCGGTTATTAACTCTAGAGGTACTACTTAATCTGTAGCTAGTAGAATTAGCTTCAAACTAGTATCTCTATAATAACAATTCGTCTATATTAGTTAGGATAGGTAAGCGTATACGCCGGGCTTATAACCTGTTGTAATTAAGCTAAGTAGAACAAGTTATTAATTAATTAACTATAGAATTGTATAAGGAAGGGAATCAAGTTTCTACCTAAGCCAGAGGCTATATATATTACTGGGAAATTAGGCCTTGGCACTTGGCAGTGCTGACTGATCCACAACAGACATGACTAATGTCGTCACATCCTCATCGCTGGAATGATCGTATGATTCGTCTTGTCGTCGATACCTCTTGAGCCCTCTCCATACAAACCCTTGGCCCGGTGTCCGGTTCGCGCATTGGAGAGACGCATCGCCACTCTTTGAGAAGTGAAGAGCTAGCAGTAGGACGTGCTTTCGGCTTGGCGGAATACTCCAACAATCTGAAGTGTGAGTGTCTCGTTGAAGGAGTCGACATCGACATCGAGCATGCTTGCAGACAATAGCAGTCGGAAGAGAAAAACTCACACCAAAAGTCGGAAAGGGTGCGGCAACTGTCGTTTGCGTAGAGTCAAGGCAAGCCTCCTCAATCACAACCAGCCAGTGCCGTCTGCGCTGACACCCGCCAAAGTGTGACGAACAGAAACCAGAATGCCAGAAATGCATCTCATTCGGCGTCTCTTGCGACTACGACTCGAAGTCAGCTGAACTGGAATTCAGCGGGATCCAGACATTCCCAGTTGATGCGCCTAAACCTCCCAAGCCGCCCACGGAAATAGATCCAGCCACGATCGTGGATGCCATCCATGATGGATGCTCCTCTATATCTCAATGTCGACCCTGAATATCGGGAACTGCTCGAAGCGAAAGATCCTGCCGCTATGATTTTATTATCCTGGTGGTATGCGAAATTTATCCCACATAACGCCTGGTGGATCACCCGAAGAGCACTATTCGAGTGTCAAGCGATTTGCTTGTATCTGCATGAGAAGCTGTCGGCGGATCTTGAGCTGCGAAGACTGCTAGAGTTTCCAAAGTCTGTATGCTTTACGGAGAGGCTGAAGGGGAGGAAGCAAGAAGGACGAAGTACTGTGTGGCCGTGGCAGCAGAACTTCTGATTGGAGACAGACAGAACCTCAATACGTCGCTTTCGAGTGCTTGTATAACGCATTCGAAACAAAATACATGCCAGCATGGTGTGAGGTAGTTGTACTGTGCAGGATCGTGACAGATGCCACATTCTGCCGGCTCGATGCCGGAAAGCAACTCTTCCTTGGATGGTAGAGCCATGATGATCGAAAGACCACTGTCGCGATGTAGAGGGTGTTGTGATGCTAAGTATAGGTGTTGAAAGACGCTGAAGATCAATTTTATACAGCCATGAAGCGATGCATGTGCCAAAACCTCACCTCCGGGGTGAGCTTGGCATTCACAAGACTGCAGGGACTCTTTCACCAGCCGCGCGTGCTTTCGAATGTTGTAGTACAATAGCACATGCAATGAATTAGGAAGTAAGTGCTTTGGATTCCATCAAACCCCACGTTCAGTGAATGGACAATCTTCGTCCCAGCCTCCAGGCCCGTGTCTGGGACTGCTGCATCTGGCACGAGGGCAGCATGTAGGATCTCAGCCAGCTTGCTTGCGAGCATGAACACACCATCGTACTCCTAAATGGCACGCTCGATGTTTTGGAGGATCTCCAAAGCGAGACTATCAAGCTCGTGCATCCCTTTCTCCTCGAGTCCATATAGGCACAGTGAGGCCGCTGTGCCAACCGGTAAGAGGATTGCAGAGTTGACTCGTACCATACAGTTGGCGTATACAATTGAAAGATTTGGTGTACTCATAATTGAGCGGACTTCTGCAATTCGTGTCTTGAGAACTTCGGTATCCATTTCAGAAGACCCGCTTTCCATCAAGAGGCTTTTTGGCCTTGGACTCTGTCTCATTGAGACTTTATGGCAATCCTCTTGCGGATAAGAGACGTAGCAAACCTGAACTGTGTTGAGAAACTTTTGATTATCGCATCTTGTGGTTGCTCAAGCCTGAAAGTGCATTATTGTGCAATTGTGCTTGATTTGCTTGTGAATGCTTCGTTCTACTTGTTAGCCGTCCAGCTGAAGAAATACGGCAAAATTGCCTAGGACATATGTAGCGCGTACGCTTTCTTATCTCACATCTCCCAAGGTCTTAGTATCGGCGTTGCTCCCACTGTCGGCGTCGTCTCCTCATCTATCTTTATGCCGAAAGAATGAGTTGCCAGAGTGTAGGACCACAAGACAGCCTCGCTGCCATACACCCTCATCTCTTTTTCGTAAGCTTCAGTGATGCCTTCTTTCCATCCTCCAGCTTCCTTGAGTAGTCGTCCGAGTAGTGCCGAGTCTCTCATTGCGGTATTGGCCCCAATGCCCGCCGCTGGGGTCATCGAATGAACAGCATCACCAATAACTGTTGTAAATGCAATGTTAATTGGCTGACTTCATCTCTAGGAGTGCGCTTGTTGCTTACCTGTTACTCTCGGATTATTATTCCATTCTGGTACACCTGAAGGCGTCGAGCAAGTGATCTTCCAAAATGCGGCCTCCTCTTCATCCATTTGATCAAACAGAGGTCTCACACGCTCGTGCCATTTTGACGTAAGCGACTTGGCCAAGTCTGCTGCTGGCTTTCCAATGATGGAAAAGTCATCATTAGGAGGCATAATCGTACCCGGCTGCCCCGACATTGTCCAGCCGAACTTGATATTGGGATCATCCAACTCGTTAGGTCGCACATTCGTGATGACCATCACATTGCCACCGTCTTTGGAGTCATCGATAATCCTCCAGACACCTTCGCCCAAGGCTTTGAAAGCAGTGGTAGGAGCTTGCCCATGAATTCCTCGAGCGCCAGTATCGTAAGTCTTGAGTTTGCCTTCAGAGACTTGCTTGGCAACTCTACTGTAGATACCCTCGCCTCCAATCAGCATCTCTCCTTCTTCGGACTCCGAGCCATCTTTGAAGACAGCCTTCACGCCGTTTGGAGTAAGCTTGTAGCCAGTGACTTGATGGCCCCATTTGACATAAGGCTCGCAACCTTCCAGAAACAGGCTTCTCATGTCAGCTCTAGAGATTCCGATCGTCTTGTTGTCTCTAGAAACCAAAATCTCTCGTGGAGGCTCCTTCGGAAGGCCGTCATTATTAGATTCCTTCTTCAGATGTCGGTTTAGTTCCACATCTTTCCCGGTAAGTGCATCGATCCCAGAAAAGCCTTTCTGGCCCCCGGTCTTGCTGCATCGATCCCAGAACTTCTTGAAGCCTTCAGGCCCAAGGATTTCTTCTATTGCATCGAGGCCTTGATTTGATAGCCTTAGTCGATATCCCTGAGCACGGAAAGATATCGATTGATCTCGCTCGAAGACCAGAAATGGAATAGACGATCGTAGGAGGGAGCGGGCCAGCAAGAGGGATGCCAAGCCAGCTCCTGAGATCAGTATGGGCTTCTGTCCGGCCATAATCGTAAGCTTGAACTGCTGAGATATCGCAATGAAGCTACCACGCGCTTATGATATATCTATTCAGCCAGATTTTCAGTCTCGGTCCGCGGTCGATGCATGCATGCAATGCTGAGAGACAGCTGAACTAGGAAGTGTTGTGGACCACTATCGCGTTCCAAGACTGGCAGCTTGCAATGTATTTGTTTTGATTACTAATCGTATACATATCTCGACTACCGAGGCTAGCAAACTTCGATAGCTAAAGGCTCTTAGACTCTACAACTATAGGCCTAGGTATGTTTATATTATATATAATATAGCTATCTATAAGGTTCTAGGAATACGATACTAGTTTTAGAGAATATTATAATTTTAGTTTCTATATATATCTATGCCCTAGTTTATAAAGGAAAATTTACTAATCTTACAATTCTTAATTATAGTTATGCTTTTTTAAGTTATATAGTAGTTTGTTCTAGCTATAGTATATAGTTTAGTAGGGCTTAGTATAAGTACTAGTATCTAAGTAGTAGTTTGCTGCTAGTCTAGACGCGCGCTATTAATTCCCTTAGACTCTTAGTTAGTAGGCTTTAAATATTTACTTAGAAAACGAAATATATCTATAGCAAATACTAAGTACTACTTAGCTAATTACTATAGTAAGAGAGAATAGGACTTTAGCTATATACTAACATAGCGATTTAGACTTTAGTAGTAAATTTACTAGTAGTAAAAGTTATTAACCTTAGCTTAAAATATATAAATAAAATTTAATTATTTAGGCTATATATAGAATATATACTAAAAGAATAGATATACTACCTTAGTAGAGGCCTAGATATATTATATATAACCCCCTAATTACTAGTAGTTATCCTCTAGCTAGTAAGTCTAGTAGTATAATTCTTAGAAATTAATAGCTTTAAGCTATACTATCTAGCTATTATAGATTTAGCTATTATACTAGTTATTTCTACTACTAGTCCCTCGATAAATTATATAGTTTAAAGTATAGAATACTAAATTACTAACTTCTAAATAGAGATAGGTCGATTAGTAGAGGTCGGTTAACGGTTCGACTAATAGTTCGATTTATAGTTTAATTAATAGTTTAATTAATAGTTTGATTAATAGTTTAATTAATAGTTTGATTAATAGTTTGATTAATAGTTTGATTAATAGTTTGATTAATAGTTTAATTAGTAGTCTAAATAGAAGTTAGATTACTAATAATAGTTTAATTCAAAACGTAATTAGTAGTTTAATTAATAGTCTAATTAATAGTTTAACTAACCGTTTAATTAGTAGTTTAATTAGTAGTTTAATTAATAGTTTAATTAGTAGTTCGACTAGTAGTTTTAGTTTAACAGAAACTTTAATTAGTATTATAGTAGTAGCTAGTCCCTCGATAAATTATATAGTTTAAAGTATATAATACTAAACTACTAGCTTCTAAATAGAGATAGGTCGATTAGTAAGTTAATTAGTAGGTCGATTAATAGTTCGATTAATAGTTCGATTAATAGTTCGATTAATAGTTCGATTAATAGTTCGATTAATAGTTCGATTAATAGTTCGATTAATAGTTCGATTAATAGTTCGATTAATAGTTCGATTAATAGTTCGATTAATAGTTCGATTAATAGTTCGATTAATAGTTCGATTAGTAGTTTAATTAGTAGTCTTATTAGTAGTTCGATTCGTAGTTTAAGTACTAGTAATAGTTTAATTTAAAATTGAATTAGTAGTTTAATTAGTAGTTTTATTAGTAGTTTAACTAGTAGTTTTATTAGTATTTTAACTAGCAATTTAATTAGCAGTTTTATTAACTATTTAATTAATAGTTTAATTAGTAGTTCGATTACTAGTTTTAGTCTAATAGAAGTTTTAACTAGTATTTTATTAGTAGTTAGTCCCCTAATAAATTATATAATTTAAAGTATATAGTACTAAATTACTAATATCTAAATAGAGATAGGTCGATTAGTAGGTCGATTAGTAGATCGATTAGCAGTTCGATTAGTAGTTTAGCTAGCAGTTTAATTAGTAGTTTGATTACTAGTAACGGTTAATTTAAAATTTCGTTAGTAGTTTAATTAGTAGTTTAACTAGTAGCTTAACTAGTAGTTTAATTAGTCGTTTTATTAGTAATTTTATAAATAGCTTGATTAACTATTTAATTAATAGTTTAATTGTTAGGGCCAAAGAGGCTACACGTGATTGGCATGTAACTAGGCCGAGTAAAGCTAGGGTCTTGATGCCTTAGGTAGGGCTTGGCGCTTGGTGTTAGGCTAACTCTCCTACCTTCCTCCCTCTCCTCCTAGATCTCTATCGAATACTAAACTGATTCACCACTACCCTATCTACCTACTAATATAACCCTTCTTATATAGTATTCGATCTACCCTTTAAGGGCAGCAGCTAGATAGTCCTTATTTTAAGCTTTTAGCGGTATAGCTACGAAAACTATCGATTTAACTATATTGCGCCCGAAGAACGGGACCTACACGTACTATTCTATCGAAACAACCGTACTAATTATCAAGCAAGGCCTTCTATACGGCCTATTATACTAAGTTAATTATACTAGGCCGATATCTACTAATTCCGCTATATCCGTATCTTAGGGGCTAATAATACATTATTAGTACCGCCCCTTACAATAGCCGGTTTATTACGAAACAACAATCGCGGCGCCGCTATTAGCGCTAGCAATAACAACACTAGTAGCACAGCACCTACTAAAGTGCCTACTAAAGCACCTGCTAAAGTGCCTCCTGCTAAAGAGCCTACCGGAGAGCCTGCTAAAGAACCTGTAATTCTAGGTAACGACCTAGAATTGTCTGTCGACGACATTCTTAACAATATTGTTAACCGTCGATATAGCTAACTAGCCTTTAGTCCCCAACTAGTAGCGAGACTTTAAGGAGCTACTTAAAACAGGCTTACTGCCTTGCGCTAAGAACAATAGCTAAAGGATAATCTCCTCGAAATTCGTCGCCTGCAAGAAGCCCTAGCAACTAATACTAAACCAACAGTAGGGCCTTCCTCTCTATCTATTTCAGTCTAAAAGAAGGATGCTAAACTTAAGGACTGTACCGTATTTAATAGCTCTAGTCGGAAACAATACAACGACTACATCCGTAACTGCGAGCTTAATTAGCGAAACGCGCTAAGGGCCCTTCTAGACGACTACTCGTTAGTCGTCTATGCTATATAATACATTAATAGAGACCTAAAGCGTACCTAGGATAACCATTTCGACTCCCTTACTAACTAGACCGCTGTTTAGTAGCAAACCTATAAAACCATTATGCTAGACACCCTTAGAAACCCTATACTAAGGCAACAACACGCTTAGGACTAGTACCTTCGGGCTAAGCAAAAGACTGACTAATTAGCCCGTTTATTTGAGGCCTATTTAAAGACCCTCGAAGACGATTTGCTATCTAAGACCGACTCTATCTAGATTTCCGAAATACGCCCGAAATTGCGATAGGAATTAGTCCTTAAATTGGACCGTCGTCGCGTATTCGAACAGACCAATCTTACACGTATTTAATTCATAGTTGAAGTAGAAACAGCTAAACGAGCTGTCTAGCTTTAGTAACGACTAGAATCGAGGATCCGACTAGCTAGTACTAACCGTAGCAACCGTAGCCGCGGAGGAAACCAAGGTTCCTACTAAGACAATAATGCTAACAATAGGAACAGTAACGATCGTAGAAGAGGCCGTAGCCGGCGGCTATATAGAGGAGGCCGCGATAGGGGCCGTAGAAGGGGCTCGTATCCCTATAATGCTAACCGCTCGACTAATAATAGCAGCAACAACAGCTACGGCAGTCTACTAACCGGATTGAAGTGCTTTAATTGTAACAGCACTAGCTATCTACTAGGCTAATGCGACAAACCTAAGGACTAGGCCCGAATCGACCGTACTATTGCTAAGCACCGAAAGCACCTCTTAGCAGCTAACGCTACCCCTATAGGCTAACCTTCGAAAAAAGAGTAAGCGCCGCACTAACTGTTAGCCTCGTACGGCGTAAGACTATCGACATTATGCTAGCTATTATACGTACCTGTCTTATATCTAGGCCCGATACTAACTATAAGGCAAAGGTTATGCTAGACCCCGGAAATTCAGTTAGCGCCCTTATTAGCTATCGCCTAGCTAAGCAATTAGACCTTCGACAACTGCCGAGGACTAACCTGCCAACCCTTGCTTAGTTTAATAACGCTCGGCACTTGACCTATAGAGCCTACTATATTCCTATAGTTCTAAAAGACGACCTCGGAAATGAACGCCTACTAAACTTCGCTACCTACGCGGTAGACACAGATAGCCTCCTATCCGATATTGTTATTAGCAACCCTGTTCTTAAGTACTATACTATAGTTATAGACTTAGGCAGTTAATAATAGCGATTTAGAATCGCTAGGAAAGAGGACATTAAACACATTAATATTAGCGAGTACCCTGCTAATATTAGGGTCCTATTTATTAGCAACCTGACCCTAGCTAATCCGACGGCCGACCTACTCGGTAGTAATAACGATAAACCTGTGCCCCCTAACGGCGTAGACCCTAAACAGCTTGAGCGCATACCGGAGCCTATTCGAGAGACCTATATTAATATGTTTAAACACTACCTAGTATCGACGTTGCCTATATTCAAAGAGACGGATTATAAGATTGATATTATAGAGGGCAAGGAGGTTCCTTTTAGCCCCCTCTACAACCCTAGCGAACGAGAGCTTGCTATATTGCGTAAGTATCTAGAGGAAAACCTAGCTAATAGCTAGATACGATATAGCAACAGCCCTGCTAGTGCACCTATCCTATTCGTGCTAAAGAAGGATAGTAGCCTACGCCTATATATTAATTATCGTAGGCTCAACGCTATTACTATTAAAGACCGCTGTCTACTCCCGCTTATTAATAAGACCCTCGACCGCCTTTCTAGTACCTACTACTATACTATATTAGACATTAAGGATGCGTACTATCGTATCCGTAT